TTTTCTAAAATCATTACAAATATATTATATTATAAAGTACATATAAATATGTTAATTAAATTTAAAAATTATTTCTTATTTATCATTTCAATTTATTATATAATTAAAATAAACAGAATTTTTTATAAATTAATCTAATAATATTTATTTTTATTATGTTGTTAGAATTTTACATTAATAAAGATTAATTATGATGATTAAAATCAAAAATATTTTGTTATAATAATTCTCAATCTTATTAATATTTCAAATAGCAATAATCGTAAATGTCTCTCTAAAATTATATTTAAAATTCATTTAACCTTACTCATATTTATTGTAATTAATAAAAATTGTATTAATTTGATCAATATAATTAGAAATTTACTAATTTTTTTTGAGAGAAAATGTTGAAAAATAAATTTTTATCTTAAAAAAAAATTTATGATTTTAGGTGAAATTTATTTTCAATTAAAACTGAATTAAAAATTATTTTAAAATTATCATTGCTAATATTTAACAATTCTTTTTATTATATAATTTATTTTTATACTTTGATTCTGCTAAATTATTGAAATTCTAATTTCGTTTAAATAGGATTTTTAATTCAGATTATTGCTTTGATAAACCTAATACTATTTTGAAAAATTGCATTAATACTTAAAACAATCCTAATTAACCTATTTACATTAGTTAGCTTTTACAGATAGCTGATTGATTGTTTTCGATGAAAAAAAGTTCGAGAAATTTTTTGATGTATTTCTTTAAAATTCATAATAATATAGATTATCAGTTTAATGAATATAATCAATGTTAAATTTTTTTAATTCATTAAGTAAACAATCTAGTATGCAGATAGTTTCTGTTTAGTATATTAATAAGCTTTCAAAAAAGTTTCATGGTTGTTTAATCCGTTTTTATTAAATTAAAAATCATAAAATTATACTAAAAATGCTTAAAGTAATAATTAAAACCTTCAACAGAGTATTAGAAACAAAGGAAACTAAAAGAATATTAGTTATAATTAGTAACACAATTTTGTGGACAAAGTATCTTTTAGTCCTAATTTTGATTCTTCATCTAGTATTATTATAAGTTCTGATTAAACATCAATTCAAAATTAATATATTATCTACAAACTATTAATAGAATTTATTTACCTTTTTATTATTTCTGGATTTTATGTAAATGTTTGATTATTAAAGTAATTGTGTTTAAAATTCTTAAAAGTTTATAATAAAAGTTTAAAATTGGGTCTTAAATAAAGGTAAAATAAGTAATATAGTTATGAAGTACTTAATATTTAATTAATAATGCAAAGAAATAATAAGATTAATGGAATTGTATTAGAGTTCTTAAATATTTTAAAAAATGTTTATTAAATATTAAATATGTTTTTATTTATATATTTGTTAGTAATGGTAAGATGTATATAGCTACCTATAAAAAGTGAATAAGAATAGATTGAAGCATTAGAATTAATGTCAAAAGATACATTGTCAGAACAGTAAATAAAAAAAGGTCAAACAAATTAAGTGTTCTTTTTAGAGATAGCAGATTATTTAGAAGGAACCTCATTTTTTAATCTTTTAGGTATAATATAAAGAAAATTAGATCTTAAAAATAAGGATAATTAATCAAAGAGAATAATAATTGCAACAGTGCTGTCCATCCTTTTAATTATCATATTTTGTATTGTAATCTAATTTATTCTAAATTTATCAAAAAAATGTAAGATTAAGCTGAGTAAAGAGAGCATACCGATACCAGCATGATAATTGAATGTATTTTGAATGTATTCATTTATAATACTGAGTTACTGATTTTCATTAATTTTATTATTAAATGTCATCGGAAGTTAAAAAGAAAGAAAGGTAAAACTTGCTTGTTTAAGTTGAAGATTTTTTGAATAAATAATAGTATGGTGGTTAAACATTTAAAAAAAAGAATGAGATTTAGGAAGAAGTTGATGTTTTTTTAAATTTATTGGGAAATATTAATCCATCTGAAACTCCATAAAATAAAACTTAGTTAAGTATAATTATTTCTTAAGGATCATATGATTCAACTTTGCCATCTTTTAGGGAAACAAAGTTAAAATATGTTAACTAATTTGTATAACAAATGTTGAAATTCTTAAGGGAAATAAAAAAATAAATCTAATAGAATGAGTCTAATATTAAATAAAAAATAGATTAGATATATCAGTTTTATTTGAATTAGATGGACGATATTGATAAATTAATATAATACACTTATGATGTTGGAAATAAGAAGCCAAAAATCGTTGAATAAAATAATTATTAAGATTAAAAGGAAATAAAGGGAACTTTATTAGAATAAGAACTAGAATCTTCTCTTGTTTAGGCTCACTAATTGAATGTAATAAGTATGTATATCAACAGGATTAATTAAACAATATACTTAAGCAAAAATCATCTGAAAATTATTATAAAGAAAAATAATGTAAGCAGGCATTACAATCAATTGCTATATTAGAATCATAATTACATTAATTTAAGGGTTAATTTTAGAAGTTCAATTAAATTGTTAAAATTATAAATGGTTAATTGAGTGATTGTGTAAATAGTGCATCTGTAGAAAATAATAAAAATAGAATAGGAACTAATAAAACTGCATATAAAACTATAAATTCTTATCGCACACATTTTACTAATACAACTCCAAATAAAAAAGGAAAATTAGAAGATAACTATAGATCAATTTCATAAAATTCTTATAGATCAAGAAGAGAAGAGGTTGATAAAGTTTATAAATAGTTATTAAAAAATTATTTATGAATAGGAGATAATTGCAATGATAATATATTAATATTAAATTGTCATCTTTGAGTTTTGTTAAAATAATCTTCAATATAGCATCTAATTGCATCAAAATCATTTAACATCACTTATCTAATTTATCTAAGTAATTTCAATTATTCTTTTCTATCTTTCTATCTTTAAATGTAATTAGTCTTAAAATCATAAGATAATTAAATACCTTAGAATTATCTGAACAATTAGTTAGATCTATTAATTATTTTTTTAGGTTAGTAAGTTTATTATCTTCATCTTTTTAATTCTATTACTCAGTGACAATTTGAGCATCAATTGAATCCTATTAGTTTTATAAAGTTGCAATCTATAATGTAAATTAAATTAATAATTACTTCTAAATTAATTGAATGTAATTCATCATTTATTTAGTTTTTGACTCTTAAATGAAGTTATTCTCTATCATCTTCAGCATTATACTAAACTCTACTAGTTTTATCAATTTAATCATATAGTTATTATAATAAGTTAACTATTGCATTAGCTCTATTAGTGTTAACAACTGCTTCAGTTTACGTTGAAATGCTCACAAACTCTTCTAAGATATTAGAATTATAATTTAACTAATTATTTGTAGTATAGGTTGATTATTTTATAGTATGTCTTGGGCTTCGTTATATAAATCATTTATTTATTGTAAGAAATCAGTATTTTCTTCAACATTTTGGTTGATATTTTGTTATTATTAAATAAGTAAGGTATATTTAGGTATAGTTTACTTAATTAAATATGTTGCTCTTTTTAAGAGACTACAAACATTAATAGAATCATCTCTTGCTATTTCAAAATGTTCACGCTATTTAAATATATGATTATACTTCTAATTATCTAATTTAATCTAATTATTCTGATAATGATTAATATTCAGTGATAATATTTTCTTTTTCATCTATTACAACATCATATCTATTGGATTCATCTTAATATAATCTAATTTAAGCTCCTAATGTACTATAATCATATTAAGATTTTGCAATTTATTCTTCAAGACTTATTAATTGTTAATAATCTATTCAATAATTATTATTCGTTTTTGTTACATAATTCAGAGTCTTATGATTAGAGTTCTAAATCATCTTATTAATCTTAGGCAATTTATTACTCAATTTCGTTCAATAAATGTTCGATTCTGTTAAATTATGCTTTTTTATCTAATATTGGAATGAATAATGATAGTTACCTTAATCACGTTAATACTCAGTTTGAATAGAATTTAAAACAGTTAAACCAAACTAATCTTTTTATAAAGTTTCTAGAAAGGTTTGATCTTCAGGAGAAATAATTTTATTATCTTGTTGTGAGTAGACAAGAAGAATTAATAGTGGAATATAAAATTTCATTAAAAGAATAAATATATAATATTTCTAATGTAAATATATATCTAAAATAAATATGAAATAGATATTTTTTATTAAAAATAAATAAGTATGTCGGAGAACATCCTGCAATAAAAAACTGAAGGAGATGAAAAAGCTAATGTATATTTTGGATAAGAAATAGATGGAGATAGTATATTTAATAATTGATATAAAGAAATAATCTATAAAAATGTAAGAAAAGCCAAAATTCCGAACACAGCAGATAGAGCATACTGCGAGATAAGAATAACTGAATTGTAAGCAGAACTTGATGCTTCACGTGAATAGGTTTTCAAGTTAGAATAACAATAAGATTTGTATGTAACATATGAATAGACAGTAAATATATGAATAATAATATTGAAGATTAATTAATTATAAGAAAGAAATTAGATATTGCATGATGAAAACAAATAGCTTAATCTTTTGTTACGTACAAGAACAAAAGAGTTAGATATAGCAAAATTTAAGATTCTTGAATATGAGTCATTACTAGAAAGATTGAGAGATATAGAATTAGATTATAATAATGTATATGACTAATTGTAAGTAAGAGATAAAGAATTAAAAGATTTAATATTTAATTTATTAAATAAAAGTTAACTGAAAAGTATGGATAATTGGAATTGAAGTAATAACAATATAAAGTACTTGAATTAGAGAATTTCGATCTTAAAAATAAGATAACAAATCTTTAGAATGACTTAGATGTATATAAAGATAGGAATATCAAATTAGATACTGAAAGAAAAAGACTTTCAGATCTAAAATCTGAAATAACAACAACTTCAAAAATAGAAGTTACAAAAAGTGAAGTTAATATTTCTTAGGTTGCAACATAATAATCAACATAAGATTATAGCAAATTTAAAACATAATTATAAGAATAATCAGATCTATTGAGCTAAATGAAAAACACTATTTAAGAAAAAGATCATAAATTAGGATTGCTTAATCATGAACTTACAAAATTATAAGAAACTTTAGCAAATAAGAATGAATAATTATCTTCATTATAATAATAATTAGATTAATAAGATAATAAATTAAAGGAATTAGAAAGTAAAATTGAATAACAAAAAAATAAACCAACTACAATTATTAAGACTGTTGAAAAAATAATCAAGGTTACTCCTACAGATGCTGATTAAGAAAAAGTTTAATTAGTTAATGAATTAGAAAGAGCCAATAATGAAATTGAAAGATTTAAGTTTGAATTATCATAATTATAATAAAAATTAGAAACTCAAGAAAAAATAATTTCTGATGTAAATATTATTTAAAATATTTATTATAGTTATCAAGAGATGTTCGATAAATCATCTCATTAAATGAAGAAATAGAATTACTTAAAATAGATAAAGCTAATTTATAAAATACTTTGAATCAAAAAGATTAAGATTTAGAATTTACTTTGAATCTGTTAAATTAGAAAACTCTTGATCTTTAGAATCTTGATAAGGTTAAGTTCAATTTAACATTTGCAGAAGATTAAATCCAAAATAAATAAAGAGAAATTATATCTTTAAAAAGAAGAGTTGGTGATGTTGAAAATTCTAATAATTAATTAAAATAATTATAACCAGAATTACGATAAGCTAAGAAATTAATTGAAGAATTAAAATCTGAAAATGATAATTTAGATTAATAAAATAAATAATTTAAAGCTAATTTAATGGATGCTGAAGTTGTTATAAATTAATTAAAGAAATTAGAATAAAGAATTAAAGCAATATAAAATACTAATTCTTCATTAAGATAAGAAATGACATAAACTTTTACTGAATCAGAATAATGGAGATAAAAATATAATTAAGGTTGTTCTGAAATCACAAGATTATAAAGATTATTAGAAGTAAATTAATAAAGATAATCAACTTTAAATGAATAAAACAAAAACTTTAAAAATGAATTTGAAGTTCCTCATATAAAAATAGATCCTCTTCCTATTCCTTAAAGATTAACAAAATAAATAATATAAGATGATTCATAAATTATGAAATTAAAAAATAATTTAGTAGTTGTTGAATTATAATTAGAATCTGTGTATCGAAATAAAGTACTTGAATAATAAGCTTATTAAAGTGAGATTGATGGAATCAATTCTAAATACAATCTTAAAAAGGAGAAAGTGAAGCATGGAAATAAAAGTATCTTAAATCCGAATAAGAAAATGTTAAATTAATGAATATTAATGAGAAATATACTGTATTATTGTAAAAATATGACTCTTAAGATGTTATTATATAAAGTTTAAATGAGAAATTGAAATAATAAACATAAGAATTGGAGAAGGCAAGAAGTGATGTATTTTAATTACATTTGTAATTAAGTCAGTTAGAAGTACTTATTTAAGAAAGAAATTAATTTAAATAAAGATCAGATACTTATTATTAGGAGATTTAAAATTAATATAAATAGATTCCAGTATTAAAAGCTTAAGTATTAGATTTAAGTAGATAATTGAAATTAGCTGAAATACCAATAATTCAAGTTGCATAAAAAACTGATGCATTTGAAAAACTTCGATAATAAAATGTAGAATTGGAATAAAAAATTGATGATACATTGGAAGATTAAATTCATGAATTATAATAAGGAAATAAAGTATTAAGATTAGAATTGACTAAATAGATTTAAATTAATGCATAATTGATTATAGATTAATCTAATGCTAATATAAAGAAATAAGATTTATTAATCGAATTATAATTATCATAAGCTATAGAAAAAGATTATTAATAATTAAAAATTGCCTATTTGAATAAGCAAAAAGAAAATGATAAAATAAAGATGTAAAGTGATGGAATAAAAAAATGAGATAGAGAAATTAAAAGAGAGATCAAATAATTATAAAGATTAAATAAATGGATTATTAGTTAAAGTAAATTCTTTAGAATAATTGAATAATGATTATAAGTTTAAGTTAGAGATGTTTCCTGAATTATAAGAGAAAGTGAATTCATAGTCTAAATAGATTGAAGATTTATAGAAAACCTCATAGAAATCAAATGAAATAAGAGATGAATTAATAGCTAAATCTACCTTATAATAAATCAAACTATAAAGTTTAGGTCCATTATAATCTAAAATAGAAAGTCTTTAATTAATTTTAGAAGAGAGACAAAGACAATTAGATTTATGGTAAAGAAAGGCCTTAGAATTAGAAGATAGTAAATCAAAACTTAATTAAGAATGGAGAAAGAAATATGATGCTGTAGAAGTTTAATTAAAAAATTAAAAAGATTTAGATTAAATAGTAATATAATAAGAACATGATATTAATGATCTTATTAATTAGAATACAAAATTAAATGTATAAAATAAAGAATTATCTATTACAAATCAATCATTAAATAAAGATCTTGATTAAGAGATATTGAAATAAATAGATTATCTGCAATTGAAACTGATTTTAGAAAATTAAATGAAAATTTATTAATAGAATTGTAAAGAATTGCTGATCTAACAGATAAATTATAAATTGCATAAAATTAATATGATGCAGCAAAAAGAGATTAAGAAAGATTAGAAAATAATGTGCAATGATGTCAAGTGAAATTGAAAGATTATCTATGATGGTTAAAAATAAAAATATTGAAATAGAAGGAAATAAAGCTATTTAACATTAAAGTCAATAATAAATTGATTAAGTTCAATCTATTTTTATAGAAAATAAAAGACTATTTGATGAATTAAATAATGTATTAAAATTTAATGAAGAATTAAAATTATAATCAATTTAATTATAGAAATAAATTGATGAATTGAAATCAATAATTAATAATGAAGGTAACTATGAAAATCAATTAAAAGATGATTTAGATTAATTAGAAAAAGTATTAAAATAAAAAGCTAATGAAATTGCTGAAATTAAATAGTTATTAAGATAAAGTGAACATTAAGTTAAAGATATTAAAAGAGATGATTAATAATGGATAGATTAATAAGCAGAAAAAGAAAAATTAACACATCAATTAAATTTTGTAAATGAATTATTAAATTCAAAAAATGCTGAAAATGAATAATTATCTAAGTAAAATCATTTATTATAATCTAAATTATTGGATAATTAAAAATTAGATTTTGAACATTTAGAATTAGCTTTAAATACTAGAGATAAAGTAATAGAAGAATGGAAAGGAAAATTCTAGAGATTACCTTAAGATTTATAAAAAGTTATTGAAGATAAAGTAGAACTTGAAAATAGATTTAGTTCTGTAGTTTTAGAAATTGAAAGATGGAAAAGAAAGGCCAATTCAAGTTAAGCTGAAATTGAAATTCTAAGAGTTAATATTGAATAATTGAATGATGAAATTGAGAGATTGAATAACAACACATCAGATCTTTTAAGTGTAAATATTATTTATTATACTTAAGGAAAATGATTCATGGAGACATAAGTATGCCAATTTATAATAATTGATACCTTAAATGGTACATCATTAACCAAATCCTGAAACTTAAGCTTATTAAGTTACACCAGGAAATAGTTTTAGAATTCCACCAGGAACTGATAGAAATTAGGGTAGCTTTAGAAATTAACCACCTCCTCTTGACTCTAGAAGATCATTTAGAAGAGCCACAACTACTGGTCTAACAAAACCATGATTAGTAATAATAAATAAAATATTAATAATGAAACATACAAAAATAATATTGTATTTCAAATTATTAAACTTATTAAAAGTAAAGTTTTTTATGGTTAAATATTAACTCACCTCAATTTAAACTATAAATAGATAATAATGATATGCAAGATTAAGCAACTAAATTTTTATATCACTGTATTTATAATTAATAACATCCATAATATTTAAAATAGATTCATAAATAATTAAAAATTTTGTTGAAAATTGTTTAGAGAAGGTTACAATAGACAATTAGTAGAAAGAAAACCTAAATTTAGCGTATAATTCATTTCATTCTAGAAAATACTTTTTCCATTTCTTTCAAAGCTACTTCATCTTTGAGTTTGATAGTAAATTATCTAATAGGATTATAGTATGCAAGGTAGATTGATTTAAATTTGGATCAAAATTTAAGATTTCCGATATTTAAACCCCCTATAAGGAATGAATTCTAATGAATTTGGTAGGATTCGTAAATATCATTTAGATTGGATACAGATAGAAAATAGAATGTACTGTTCGATGAAAAAGTGATTCGTTTGATTTATTACTAATATAATTAATTATATTGTTGAATAATCATAAATATATTTAAATTTTTTATAATGACCACTATTCTTCCATTAGGTACAAAAATAATTAAAGTAGAGGATTATTGGATAAGGCAATTTCATCAAGAGTTTGGATTCTAATGAAAGATGATAGAGAATTTGAGGGTAGTCTACGTGGTTTTGATGATTTTTTTAGTACATTTATTATAATAATTGATTAGATATGGTTTTAGAGAATGTAATAGAATTAGATAATGGAAAGAAGAGTAAATTAGAATCAATTTTATTAAATGGAAGTTAAATATGTTTGATAGTACCTGGAGGGGAAATAAGTTGATAATAATAATATTTTTAATATGTTAATAATCATATTATTGTTTAAATATTCATAGTGTCAGGATATAGATTATTGCAACATTACCAACATAAGTGGAAATTATTCACCTTTTTACTATAATTCAAGTTGTTTACCACCTGAGTAATTAGAAGTTAATTGTTAATAGTCAGATAATTATGTAGAGATAAATGTAGATTCTTCTATAATTTGGAATTTGGTTAGTTTAACGACTAATTGTCATAATGTAAAAATTAATACATCTGAAATTAATATTGGCAATATAACTACTAACTAGAAGAAAACTGAATTAATGGAGAACAAGTATATAATATTTGAAGCTTCTTAAAATTACTCTTTTATGAGTAATATTTATATAAATATGCCTAATTATTTACTTGCATTCTTTTTAAATAGTAGTGAAAGTTCAACAAGTATTTACGGATTGAATGTAACATCTAATAAAATGCTTTTTGTTTTTAATAATTCTGTAATAATTGAGAATTCTAATTTTTTTATGACAACTTCAACATGTACTAATAATGTAAACATATTGCNGTAAATTATCTAATAGGATTATAGTATGCAAGGTAGATTGATTTAAATTTGGATCAAAATTTAAGATTTCCGATATTTAAACCCCCTATAAGGAATGAATTCTAATGAATTTGGTAGGATTCGTAAATATCATTTAGATTGGATACAGATAGAAAATAGAATGTACTGTTCGATGAAAAAGTGATTCGTTTGATTTATTACTAATATAATTAATTATATTGTTGAATAATCATAAATATATTTAAATTTTTTATAATGACCACTATTCTTCCATTAGGTACAAAAATAATTAAAGTAGAGGATTATTGGATAAGGCAATTTCATCAAGAGTTTGGATTCTAATGAAAGATGATAGAGAATTTGAGGGTAGTCTACGTGGTTTTGATGATTTTTTTAGTACATTTATTATAATAATTGATTAGATATGGTTTTAGAGAATGTAATAGAATTAGATAATGGAAAGAAGAGTAAATTAGAATCAATTTTATTAAATGGAAGTTAAATATGTTTGATAGTACCTGGAGGGGAAATAAGTTGATAATAATAATATTTTTAATATGTTAATAATCATATTATTGTTTAAATATTCATAGTGTCAGGATATAGATTATTGCAACATTACCAACATAAGTGGAAATTATTCACCTTTTTACTATAATTCAAGTTGTTTACCACCTGAGTAATTAGAAGTTAATTGTTAATAGTCAGATAATTATGTAGAGATAAATGTAGATTCTTCTATAATTTGGAATTTGGTTAGTTTAACGACTAATTGTCATAATGTAAAAATTAATACATCTGAAATTAATATTGGCAATATAACTACTAACTAGAAGAAAACTGAATTAATGGAGAACAAGTATATAATATTTGAAGCTTCTTAAAATTACTCTTTTATGAGTAATATTTATATAAATATGCCTAATTATTTACTTGCATTCTTTTTAAATAGTAGTGAAAGTTCAACAAGTATTTACGGATTGAATGTAACATCTAATAAAATGCTTTTTGTTTTTAATAATTCTGTAATAATTGAGAATTCTAATTTTTTTATGACAACTTCAACATGTACTAATAATGTAAACATATTGCCAGGAATGATTAATATTTTTAATGTAAATTTTGAATCTGTAGAAGATTATTTATTACATAATTAATTTAGTTTTTTATAATAGCCTACTCGATTTACTGCATTTTTTTAAGTGTCTAATTACACATTTTTTATATTTAGCAACACTTCTTTAATTATGAATAATATTTCAGTGATTGCAAGTCAGATAGGTTTATTAAATAATGGTACTATTAATTTGGAAAATAGTTCATTGAATACTTCATATTCTGGCTGTTATATAAACTAAGGGTACATCAATATTTTAATATATGAATAGGAATGCAAGGGGTCCTGAATTCATTAATTATAATTAAAAATGTTTTGCTAATGGTGGTTCTAATTCTGGATATGGTGGAATCGGATTAAATATTGGAGATTCATATTTAAGTGATTGTATATTCTTAACAAATTCAACTAGGTTTATGTTTGATTTATATCCCTATGGTTATTTATTAACTAATCTATATTAGGGATCAGGTGGTAGTTCTATTAATGTTATAGAACTAGTTAAATCATTTGGAAATCTGTCATCAAATTTATAATATGGATGGGGGGGTGGTTCTATTTTTATTTTTGCAAATTAATCATTAAATATGACTAATTCATAATTATTAGCAAATGGATAAAAAGGATATGTAGATAATATATCTAATTACAGTATTGGTGGTGGTGCTGGAGGATCTATTAAAATATATTCTACTTAAATTATAAGTGATAATTTATCTTCTATTTAAATGAATGGTGGAGATAGTGATTCAAATGATTTAGTGGGGGAAGGGGGTGGAGNTATATAATATTTGAAGCTTCTTAAAATTACTCTTTTATGAGTAATATTTATATAAATATGCCTAATTATTTACTTGCATTCTTTTTAAATAGTAGTGAAAGTTCAACAAGTATTTACGGATTGAATGTAACATCTAATAAAATGCTTTTTGTTTTTAATAATTCTGTAATAATTGAGAATTCTAATTTTTTTATGACAACTTCAACATGTACTAATAATGTAAACATATTGCCAGGAATGATTAATATTTTTAATGTAAATTTTGAATCTGTAGAAGATTATTTATTACATAATTAATTTAGTTTTTTATAATAGCCTACTCGATTTACTGCATTTTTTTAAGTGTCTAATTACACATTTTTTATATTTAGCAACACTTCTTTAATTATGAATAATATTTCAGTGATTGCAAGTCAGATAGGTTTATTAAATAATGGTACTATTAATTTGGAAAATAGTTCATTGAATACTTCATATTCTGGCTGTTATATAAACTAAGGGTACATCAATATTTTAATATATGAATAGGAATGCAAGGGGTCCTGAATTCATTAATTATAATTAAAAATGTTTTGCTAATGGTGGTTCTAATTCTGGATATGGTGGAATCGGATTAAATATTGGAGATTCATATTTAAGTGATTGTATATTCTTAACAAATTCAACTAGGTTTATGTTTGATTTATATCCCTATGGTTATTTATTAACTAATCTATATTAGGGATCAGGTGGTAGTTCTATTAATGTTATAGAACTAGTTAAATCATTTGGAAATCTGTCATCAAATTTATAATATGGATGGGGGGGTGGTTCTATTTTTATTTTTGCAAATTAATCATTAAATATGACTAATTCATAATTATTAGCAAATGGATAAAAAGGATATGTAGATAATATATCTAATTACAGTATTGGTGGTGGTGCTGGAGGATCTATTAAAATATATTCTACTTAAATTATAAGTGATAATTTATCTTCTATTTAAATGAATGGTGGAGATAGTGATTCAAATGATTTAGTGGGGGAAGGGGGTGGAGGAGTTCTATAATTTAAATGTTTATCTAGTCCATTAAATATCTATCTATCATCAAATTTATCTAATTATTGTTCAAATAGTACATTTCTAGGAACTATATTAAATTCACCTGGTAAAAGAAAATAAGCACTTAGTTCAGGTTTACTTGGATAAAATGGAAGTTTATTTGAACCATTATGTCCACCTGGATCTAAAGTTTACAATTTCTCATGTGTATCTTGTCGTAATAGTTCAGATAAATATTAGTCATATTCTGTTTGGTGGAGTTCATAATGTGTACCTTGTCCATATACATTTGTATCTATTTATATTTTTAATTGATAGGGTAAATTTGATAATGATGATGGTAATACATTTTGCAATTAATCTCTTAGTTGTTAAGCTACAGAATGCTGTATTGAAGATATAAAAATTCTAAGAAATACAGGAATTTAGTTAGTTGTTTTTATGTTGTTAATAATAATTGGTTATGTATTACGAAGACAATATAAAAAAAAAGATTCAACAACTGAAAAAAACTTTAATTTTGAAAATGCTACCAAAGAAATTATTGCAGATAAAATAATTACTGAAAGTTTATAGGAAACAGATTAATTTGTCTTAGGAGATTTAATGTATCATGCACATAGAATACCTGTTATTGGTAATAATACTTTTCTTAATCCCTGGTTTTTACATTCTGAACCACCTGTAGAAATTGACAAAGCTGTTAATAAAGAAGAATATGAAAAGTTTGCCAAAAATTTCAATGAAATTGCAGCATGGAGTAAAACTAAATATATCATTTTAAATTTTTTGGCTATTTTATATTACCCTTTATATTGGGGATGGTAAACTAAAATTAAAAAGGATAAATATAAATTATTAGCTGCTTTGTTAAATAAAAATGAAATTCCAAAATTTTGGAAATAATCATCTGACTAAACTTATGGTAGATTTAAAATGACTAAAAGTGCAGATTACACTCTATTATATATTGATATTTTTAATTATAAGAATTGTGATTTGAAATATATTTATCTTACTTGTCCTTTTATTATATATTTATCTGGAGAAGGTAATTATTTAAGACCATTTTATTTATGTGAATCAGATTAATTTTTAGTTTCACTATTTTTTGCTGTAAATTAGACAACAAATTCAATATAAAATAGATAAAATATTTTAACAAATTTAGTTAGTAAAGATGAGAGAGAAGAGAATTCAAAGGAAATAAGAAGATTTTTAAAGAAATTTAATAAAGTAGCAATGACATTAGATTTTGGAGCTTTGGATAGTAGTTTCATATCTAATTTTAAAAGATTATTTGATTTATTGGAGAAATGGAATAATTAATTTTTTAATAATCATAATGTTAAATTGTAATTATTGGTTGCATAATTTCCATTTGATTCACAACATTAATCATCAACAATAACATTGATAGAGATGAAATCAGATAGTTAATTTAATAATTTTATGAAAGAACTTCATAAGAATGTGATATTTTAGAAGATATAGGATGTAAAATTTGGTGTATTTATTTTTAATACAGAATAAGATCCTGCTGATATTGATTAATAATTGAAAAATTAGAAATTCAGTTTTAATGATTATGAAGATTTTTCAATTAGACATTTTGAATTTGATTATGATGATGAAAATTCAATAGATATAGAATTATTAAGAGAATAGTTTTTATCTAAAAGTACTGATAAAGATCATTAATAAATTGGACATACAAAACATCAATTTAAATAAATAACTAAGAAATAAAGTTAGAGACCAAACTCATTTTCAAAAACATATCATTTAATAATAAGAATATTTGATTATATTAGATTTCAATCATTTTCTCATAAAAGAACATTTTTAGATAAATATACATTAATCATAATGATTTGTATATTGATATTATTAGATAATGTACAAAATAATAATTATAAAATTAGTTTTTGTTATAAAGCATATTAAGTTTGATAATAGAGTAATATAATAATGAATATGAGTAGAGTTCAAACATTGTAGATTTATAATTAATTGTATTTCCTTATCCATTTACAATAATATTGTCGAATTTATTTGAATCAATATGGGTATATAATAATATATAATATGTGAGATTCCAAGTTAATCATATGGGATATTGAAATTATATTTGATTTTTAATGCTATGGCTACATTTTAGTATTTTATAGGTTTACTAATATTTGTAGGTAATAAACCAAAACAATAGTAAATTTGTATACAGGATACATTAACAATCTTATCATTTTTAATTAAGATAACATTGAATCAATTAAGTGAGAGATTAATACCTATGAGTACAAAATTGAATTAATTGAGCAATGAAAAATAAATATGATTATTAATAAATATAAAATATATATATATACTTGTTCATAGAATGCAAATCAGTCAAGATATGTTTAAGTGGTTGAAATCATTAAATGTAATATAAAATGGGATTCCTAAATAAAATGGTAGAATAGAATTAGATCCTGAAAGTACATCAGGCTTCTATAACGGTTTCAAGATATCAGAACTATTAGATCGATTATCAGGAGTATATAATTAATAAATAAAAACTTAAACTAATCCAACTGCAAGATTGTATAATTGGAATATAATCACAGAACGATTACATCAAATAAAAGTTGAATTAGATAGTGAAATTAAGAAATTAATTATTGATGGAGATTTAGAAATGATTGTTGAAGTATTAAAAGATGTCTAATCTAAATTTGTTAAAGAGAATATACCTAAAATTGAATATCCTAAGAAGACTTTCGATATTGAAACTTTGAATTCTGCTAAACCATTAAGTTCTTGTGAAACTGTGCTTGAATTTATAATTGTAGCACTAAGTTAAAACCTTATATTGAAACCAAAACAATCATAATAATTATTAAATAACAATTTCAAATTATTAACACATGTATTTATTAAGGGAGTAAAAGGAATGTATTTTTAATTAGTAACATTACTCTAAGAAATATATAATAATATGCCTAGATTGATTGAATTACTTAGAGAAGAAGAACATCAAATAGGATTCTTTGTTTCATTTCTTAAATTATCAATGTTTTCTAAAGATTCTGAAGTAGTACATTGGGGATTAAGATTACTTGGTAAATTAGCATATGATTTATCTTAATATGACTTACTATTTCATATGTTTTAATGGTTATTAAGTATTTAATAATATTTATATTATCATTTTAGATTCTGGATTATCTACTTTGATTGTTACACTCTAAAGATAACCATAATTAGCTGAACATTTAGCTACTGCTTTATCTTAAATTGCATAATATGATTATAATTAAGTATTTGGATAATAGAAGTACTTCGAGAATCCAAAAACATATATTGAATTCTATGGAGCATTAATTCCTTATTTAAATTGTGATGTATATTAAATACATTATTGATTTAGCTTATTAATTACAATTTAGAATAACAAATACAAATTGCTATAAGATTAAGTGATAATCAAAGTACAAGAGATGAAAAAAATGTTGCAATCTAATTCCTATGTAATGCTTGGATTCATTATAATACATTCTTAGAATAGAATATGCAATATTAATAATCTATATTAGCAATGCTTTAAAGAACTGCTAAAGATAATTCAACTATATTAAAATCATATTCAATTACATAAGCATTTAGATTATTAGATGGATTAGCTTAAAAGAAAGTAGTTACAGCTGTATCAGTATTTAAAAAATTAATTTCTATTCTTATTGAAAGTCAAAATAATGAATATATTGTTAGATAATTCACTTATATTATTCAAAAATATCCAAGTATTCCTATTGAATTATTAATTGATGGTTTAATTAAAAATCAACATTTAAATATTTCTGATTGTGATATTTATTATGTATTGAGTGCACATCAGAATTTAAAAGTATAATCAGCAATTTCAATGTTAGAATTATTAATTAGAATTTATAATAGTAGTGTTCTATTTTAAAGTGCATTATTTCCAACAATACAATAAATCATTCAAAAATTCTTAGAATTATCAGAATTTTAAGAATACATGAATAGAATGGCTTAAACATGTTTAAATTTATATGTTAATTCTGTAAAATCTAAGAAAACTACAACAACAATTACTAATTATTAAGATGATTCTGTTATAAATTCTTAAAGAAGAGCCTAAATAATATAGTTATTCAAATATATAGTATAATTAAGATGTTATTAAATGAATAATATGCTTAAACCATTATTTGTGGGAGCACATCTAGAATTGAGAAGTATAGAAAACAGAGACAATAAAGGAATAATTTAATTATTGTAAATGCTTGGTGATCCAAATACAATTGTTGATGAATATATAACGAAAGATTAATAAATGACATCTTAACTATTTTTAGAAAAGAAAATGTAATAAATGGAAGGCAATTAATCATAAGGTTTAGAAGATCAATATCTTTAAAAAAATAAGAAATTATTTGAAAAAGAAGAAGATTTAGTAAAATCTTTATTGTTGGAAGAAAAGAATGAAAACAAAAATTAACAATAAAATAAAAAAAAGAAAAAAAGGAATTATGATTTTGATGAATTATAATGTATATATGAAGAAGGTGAACTTGCTTATAAACCTATAGATGTGATGTTGATCGATTTTTCATTAGAAGAGGATGTTGATAGAGAATCTATGAATATAGCGATTAAACATTTCTCTAAAACCTTTAAATATTTATTTAATAAATATGCTTCCACACCTTAAGAAGCTGCTAAGAATAGACTTAGAAGTTTGGATCAAAGTTAATTAGAATTGAAATCATCTGATATTGTTAAAATACTTTAAGATTATGAGATATATAATTTTAGTACTTATGAGGAAATAATTAATCTTATTGCAACGATTAATCATAAGTTTAATTTATTTAGTTTGAGTTCTTAAATTAGATAACTTCCACATCAATAAGATAATTAAACTGAAAAATAATCATCTTTATCAGCTACTACTTCTAGAACTGTTAATTACAAATTAGATTTTGAGAACTTTAAAAAATTCTTAATTTAATTTGCTATTATTATTTTTGGTAGACCACCAAAAGATTTTAGAAAAATGCCATCTGGACATTTATTAGTTGAATTCTTCAAATATTTTTCATATGTTTCAAGAAGAAAGAATGAGAATCATCTCATTTTTGATGATCCAGATGGAGTCACTACTGTAGCTGATAAAAATACTATTTAAAAATGGAATGCTTAATTACTTTAAAATCCAAATATAGATGTTCCTACTGAAACTAGATTAAAAAAAGTATAAATTGAAAGAGTTTCATTACATTATTAAATGAGAGATGTTATTAAAAATCTAAATAAATCTTATTTAATATGTTTTGAAATTGTTAATGATCTTATTTAATCTAAATTTAAGTAAAAATATATATATAATTAGAACTAATATTGTTGAACCAATATTTAAAATAAATCTCATTTTTGAAGTTAAACCTATTGCAGCTAAAGGAGTTCATTAAGATCTTAAGATTGATCCTTTGATTGAAAAGTAAGAATAATTAAAGAATTCTCTTACACTATTACCTATTGAAAAATAAGAAATTATGAATAAGTCTTTAGATTTATCATAATTATCAGAAGAGAGAATTATTAATAAAAGTATAGTAGAAAAGATTGTTTCAAAATAAGAAGAAGCATTAAAAAAAGAATTGAAGGATATTAAATGGCAAAAAAGAAAAGATTATTTAGATAAACAATTTGAAAGAATTTAATAATTTAAAGAAAAAAAAGAAGAAATAAGATTCAGTGAATCATAAGTACTTGGAGAATAATTAAGAGATTAAAAACCAAAACACATTAATTATATGAATAATTTAAAGAAAGAATATAGAAAAAATTAATCAGAAGTAATAATAAAAAATGTTATAGCATAAATAGAAGAAATTAAGGATTCTTCAAGAAAATAAGGAGATAAATAATAAGATAATAAATAAAAGAAATAATAATAATAATAAGATAATAAATAATAATAATAATAATAATAATAATAATAATAATAATAATAATAAAAATAATAATAAAAATAATAATAAAAATAAGGAACAGAAAAGAAATTAACAAAGGAAGATAAAGCTGAATAAAGATTTAAAGCAAAAACAACTGAGATGGCTGCTCATTATAAAACATCAATAGAGAAGAAGGAATAATTAAATGAGAAATTTTAGAATTTTTATAAAGATCCAAAAGTTTAGGCAGAATTTAAACATTTTAGATCATCTGGTAGTGTGGTATTAATAATAATAATATATTTAAGGCATTCAATCATTATTTAAAATATTCAGATGCTTGGAATTATAGTGGGAAAAAGATTGTATAGTAAGGATGGTTAGATTTTGCAAAAGCATTTAATTTATCTTAAGTGTTTAGTGAGGAATAATTAATAAAGGTGTTTACAAATACATTGAAATAGAAGAATTATGTAGGTCATCGAGAAGCAGTTTAAAAGAATTTAAAATATTAAGATGAGATAGGATTAACATATTTTGAATTTGAATATTTATTATTAAAAATAGCTATAATAGGATAGGAATATTTTAATTCAATATAAAGTGGAAAGAAACTAGATGATAATTTAAAATAATTAATAATTTATAAATAGAAATAAGGATAGAAACCAAAGATAAAACATAAATATGTAGAGATTTTAGAAGAGAATATGAATAAGACAACCAGTTTTACATTAGCAGCTTGTTTAGCATATTTAGATATTCCATAGAATAAAGATTTATTTGCAGGTAAATTGAGATCCATAGAGGGTGATGATATAATAGAGGAGACAAAACCAAAATAATAGTCAGTTGGTAGAAATGATAATAAAATTGATTAGACTTAAAATAATTGAAAAAGAAATAAGGATTACCAGAAAGTCCATAAGTGAAGAAGACTGCTAGATGGGGAAAGCCAGGAACTCATGGAAAAGGAGCATAAGATGATAAAGAGATTACAGATTAATAAATTAAGTTACCTTATCTTTCAAAGAATGCAAAGAATTAAGAATTATTAGAAATGACAAAAAGATGGGAAGAAATATAAAAAGATAAACAAGGGAACAAAAAATGATTTAGTTTTAATAATATAAATTAATATGCATTATTTGTAAATCACTAAAAATATAATATATTAATAATTCATTATTTTTTATTATATTCTTATACAATTTTAATTGAAAATAGATTTGTATTTATTAAATGTATAATCATAAATTAATAAATATTTCAATTAAAAAATTATTTAGAGGAAGAATAATTAATTGATTTTATCTAGATTATTATTATTGAGATGATTCTATATTATTTATTTTAAATTCTTGTATATATTAAATTATGCGAACTGAATCCATCTCATTTGAAAAAGAAATGGACATTATGAAAAAGAGAGCATCTAGAAAAGAAAGATCAAAATTTGAAGATATTATGTATAAATCTTAATTTTATCTTTAGTGAAGAAAATGAAAATTAGAAAATGACATGTTATGAAAGCACTCTAAATTGTTGTGGATCATATTTTGGAACACTTAGAGCTTGGCTTCCATGTTGTTGTTGTTGTTGTCCATATCCTTATTTTCTTATTACTTAAGGTTATAAAGGTTTGCTTTAAAAATTTGGAAAATATTAAAAAACTTTAGAACCTGGACTCCATGAAATAAATCCGTATATTTTATATAATGATTTATAGATTCACTGATCGTGTTATTCCTATTAGCACTAAAACTTTGTAATAATAATAATGAATATATTTAAGTATCATTGATTTAGAAAGATAACTTGTTTTAACCAAAGACAATATTACTGTCAATATTGATACTATTGTTTATTATAGAGTTGTAGATGTTATGAAGTCTGCTTATAGAGTTAAAATGATAGTAGAAGCAGTCAAAGAAATCACCTATGCTGTAATAATTCTTGATATTCATTTTCTTATAGACTTTACGTACAATTTGTGGAGAACATAACTTATAAGAAATTATTGAAAATAGATAAAAAATTGCAGATGAAATTGAAGCTTTTGTTTTTGATGTTGTTTCTGAATGGGGTAAAATAATTTATTAATATTCAGGTATATATTTGGAACATATTTTTATTAAGGATATGCTTATGAATGAAGAATTATAAAATTCATTATCAAATGCTCCAAAAGCTTAAAGACTTGCTTAATCTAAGATAATTTCTGCATAAGTATTTATTATTTTAATTTAAGAGTGATGTTTCTGCTGCTAAACTTATGAGAGAAGCTGCTGACATGCTTGATTCAAGAGCTGCTATGTAAATTAGATATTTTGATACCATTTAAATGATTGCTAAAAATCATAATCCAAAAATACTTTTTCTATCTATGGATTAATAAAATCAAAAAAAATGAATATTTTTTTATTTATTTTAAATAAATATATGTTTAAATAGATTATACATACTACTCTTATTTTTAATATTCATTCTTACAATCAATTGTAATTATTGTAAAACTGAATTACTAGACACTCTTAGTGTAATTTCCATTATTATTTATTAATTGAAAACGGATAGTATCAAATATCATTATTAAATGCTTAAATTGTGATTTCACTAATTATCCTACTTTTAATTATTTTACAAATTCTCTCTATTATTATTAGGAATTGATTCCTCTAAAATTTAATTATTAGTAAATTACAAATGTTGGGATCAATGGATTAATCAAAAAAATGAATAAATTTTATTCTGAAATTGTTATTAATATATTGTTTACTAATTTTATTTCTTCTATTCAGACCTATGATCTAAAATTATATTTAATAATATCTTAATCAATGAATATTCAAGATAATTTAGCACTCTTAAATCATCAACTAAACATTTCAAATCAAAAACTTTAACTTCAAGTTGAAGTACTCTCACACTAAAACATTTTATATCAAAAATAAATCATAGATTAAAACAACATTCTCAATATAATACACTCCTTATAACATGAAAATAATTAGCTTAAATAGGACATCTTAACACTTCAGGAAAGCTTATTCAACTTATAAACTGAGAAAAATATATAGATTGAATAATCATACTCTACTATGCTTTAAAACTTAAATAAAGAAAATGAAAAAGAGCTCATCTATCTCAAAAAAGAATACAAAGATCATATTTTTTAATTATAATAAGAAAAAAACTAACTCTTTGAATAAGCTGTTTCTATGGGTATTCAAAATCAGACAGCTAAAAACTTAGAGCTATAAACTACTAAAATCATCTAAATTGCTTAAAAATTAGAGTAATTTAAACTATTCATTTTTATAGGAAAATTTTATGTGAAACACCTTCAAATTAAGAAAATAAAAAAGAGAAAGTCAATTCTGCTAAAGAAATTTACGATAACTTAATAAATTAATTAAATATAGACTTAAATAAAAATTAGAAAGAACATGATAAAAATGATAAATTTTATCAGTAATCACTATATAACTTATAAATTAGGACTTAATCAACCATAAAGAACCCAAGTTCAATCAAATAAAAAGATAGACCAATCAACTTCACTAAATTTTTGTCTCTTACACGAGTAAATGAGTCACCCAGAAGTTAAGCATATTTAAATGCAATTTCATTATAAAATACGAACAGACAAAATTGATTCATTTATAATAATAATTTTTATTTAATTAAGTGATTTTTAATAATTTTATTATTCCCTTCATTTTCAACAATTATTATTATTAAATTAAACTAATTTTCGATAATATATAACAAAAACTTATAATATAAAATATTTCATCAATTTCTCTTATTAAATATTAGATATCATTTAATACATATATAAAAATACTTATTTTTTTACTGATTTTGAATATCATTTTAATTTTTAAAATTTTGCTCATTTATGAATTATAATCTTATTTTTTTTTGGAATATTTATTACAAATTGAAATAAAAAGTTATAAAATACATTTTTATTTGGCTTTGATAGATTATTATTACAAAATAAAACTAAATTAATCAAAATAAAGTTAAATTCAAACAAAATTAATTGATATTAGTATAGTAATACAAAATATTATTAATTTTCATTTTAATATTCAATTTAAATGATAATGATTACAATTAATTCTTTGAATAAACTTGAAATTTTAAAAATAAATCATTCAAATAAAAATGAACTCAATTCTCTTTTATATTCTAAAGAAATATACAGTTATAAGAGAAGTAGAAAAAGGTTTAATGTTTCCAATGAAATTTCCTTCCTAATTCATTTAATAGGCAGGCAATTCTAATTAAAAGTATCATCTATTATTTTATATAGTATAAATAAATTAAAAAAAGAAATGAATATTTCTAATCTGTGAAAAATATTTGATAAAGAATTTAAAACTTAAATCAAAGAAGGAAATTCTATTCACAAGAAACTTTATGAAAAAAAGCACATTTATGAATTAATCCAAACTTAAAAATATATATATTATTAATTATGTCAACTGTTTTACCTATTTTAATACCAAAAAGCAAAAACATTTTGTTACTTAAAGATGATATTGGAAAACCAAAACCTAATACAAGAAATCTTCCAAATGATCATTTTACATATGGAAAATAAATTAAACGAGATCCTATTTAAATTAACTTTGCTACTTAAGAATATGGAAATGAAATCTAATCCTCTGTGAGAAGAAATCATAGAGTTTAAAACTCTAATATATCCTTAATGACTCATGGAGTCAAAAATAAGTATAAAAAGCTTTTATTTATTCTTAGACCTTAAACTCCATTAGATAAAGTAATACAATATTAATATGCTTCAAATGCAAAGGAACAAATTGAAAAAATATATTTATAAAGAATAAAAACAGAACCTAAAAAATAGGATTTTTATAAGAACAGATCATTTTCTTTAAGATAACAACATAATACAAAAAAAGAAGAAAAAAAAATGTTTAAGCTCTAGTAGTTTCAAGATATCAAAGCTAAAATATTTTAATGAATTCATAATTCATGCTTCTATAATGAATAATATTTACGCTCTTTTAATTAGGAGAAACAACTATTACCTAAAGACAATATTAGTTATATGTAAAACTTATATCTCACCTTTTTTTAACACATTTTTTAATACTGAATTATTATTATTATTCATATTTTATTAACATAATATGAGATGATTCTAAAAACTAACCCAATTAGTGGATAAACTCAAACGAGGTTATAAATTTTTTACTTTCACAAATAAAAATTTTTCAATTAAAAATTCCTTTAAGTTTAAATTAACTAGACAAAGGATTATTTAAATAAATCCAAACAAAGCTATATTTTTGGAAATTCCTAAATGTTTGTAACTTAGAGTATCTTTCTTATTAGTATTATTTGTCTATAAAATCCTACCTTTA